AACTTTATTGCAATTCAATAAATGCTTCTATATATAAATCACACACGAGGCCTCAGTTTTTGTATTCCATGAAAACAAATGACAAGGTACACTAAATGGTTATTACAGACACACAAAGTCATCTTAAAGCCAGTGCAGTACAGAACAGTACTACAATCATAATACCTGTTTGTAAGATTAAATATATACACATTTTTTAAAAGCCAGAACCATGGAAGTGGAATGCATTAGTGATTAAATACAAGATTATATAGTCTATAGCAGCTTTTTTTAATATTCAACTACTCTATCTAGTTATCTAGCAGCAACGTTGTCTAATGACTGTTAGACAGTTTGTATTTTCAATCAGTAGATGTTTTGTGCCAATATTTCATACAGACTGTAGATATCTCTGATCATCACGTTAGCAAGAACAAAGAAGTTCCTACTTAAAGCCTTACTGACGTTTGTAAGAGTAATTACAATACTGCAAGTTTAAAAAAAAAAGTCACATGTTAATTGTCTCCTTCATATTAGAGAGTACAAAACAGGCTGCATACTTCATTAGTATTTTTTTCCTCCGATACAGACTCTAAATGCGTGGAAATTTCCAGGAGGTCTGTCTAATCCAGGCGAAGACATTGGTAAGTCCTAGGATAACAGGTCAGACGTCAACAGAATTATAAAGACATTAACAGTACCAAAATACATCGTGACCCACATCACGCCTGGTGACTAATCACTTCTTTGAATTAACGGTGAATAGATGAAGCGACATGATCCCATGACCTTAATGGTAATGGGGTAACATTATGTTGTTCAGGGCAGAGAAGAATTGTATTTATAACGTTTACCCTTTTCCACAATTTCTCTTAAATGAGTGCTTGAAGCCAACTGACTTTTTGTAGGCTTGCTGGATATGCTGTAGTAGGAGCCAAAAGTGCAGAGGATTAAGGTAATCGGTACATAACGCAAATAAAACTGAAACAGCGAGCTCTCAGCTCACACTGGAATCCAGGGCAGCGAGCTCAATGATGTACTGAGCAAAAATTTCCAACTCTCCATTTTTATGTGCAAAACAGAAGTAAATGCACTTGCTTCCTTCCACCCTTGTTCGTTTGATTTGCTTAGACTAAGAGCTCTTTGTCACAGGACCAGCATTAAGTGCAGCGCCCGAGTCTTGTGGGCACCTACTTTCCACCGGAGACATGAGGCACTTCTGTATTAAAAAACAATGCTGGTTTGAGGAAACCTATCATTTCTATCCAGCGCAGCACAGGTGATGATGAACACTGCTGCAGTTATGTTCAGAGGTGAACGAACAAGGGTGTTTATGAAGAGATAGGAAATTGTGCTTTTTCTCCTTGTATCTCACCCCTTCAAATTATGATCCACGGACTGGTTAATTCTTACGTTTTACTGCAGTTACTAGGTAGGTCTTGTTTTCAAAAGTTACATTTGTCACATTAATTTTAGCCCCACGTCAGTGTTCAGATACAAATATATTCTTCCAATAACTCAGAAATGCAGAACTCAAAAATGTTGCTCAGAGCAATGCGGCAGCTCTGGCAAACCGGGTGTTGAGCCCAGGTTTCCCGACTGTTTCACACCTTAGAAATATCTACTATTTTTAGCAGTCTTCCTACAACAACGTGTGGAGGGCTTGTATTCCAGTTCATTATTTCAATACATGGAGAAAGTTTCTAGTTAGCGGGATATGGCCAAGTTGTAGTTTTCGTAACTCATGAATCACATTTTAAGTCTTTTTGTCGAACAAAGATAGAAATCAAAATCATTTGCTTGACAATGCAAACACATATAACGTAGTGAAATGGATTCACGTTTTCAGAAGAATCCCAAACGCCGTGTTTGTTGTCTAGCCAGGCTCCCTTTCACTTCTAGGAGATACCAGAGGGATTTTTGTACTGAGGGAAAAGAATGACCAGCACTGGCAACAGCTTCCCCAGAGGAATACTGAGTAAGCCAGTGGCCATCCCTCAAATAACAGGTGAGATTATGGCTGAAGCCTGGATGTAGGTTTGAGAAACTCCTGGGAGGGAACAAGTCTCTTACAGCTCCCCTCCTGCCACTACTAAACTACATAATAATAAAAGTTACGATTCGCCGTATCACATCTTAGTATTACAAGAAGATATAAATTAGTGAAGCATAAAATACAACAGAGCTTAGTTCTACTTTTTTTATCCTTACATCAAACCTTATAAACTCACAGTCATTCAAGGGACTAAATTTCAAATGACAATTACAAATTGCAGTTACAATGCTTGAAGATCCTGTGATTATATGAAGTGATAAAATACACGGCTGCCTACTTTAATGAGTACAAACTGACTCGCGCAAGTAATTTGAATAGTTTCATAATGCAGATTAAGCAAAGTGCACACATTTTTTTATTTGAATATTTCTGAAACTCAAGCCCTAGTGTTTCTTCTAGTTTAACTGTCATCATATATTTTTTATATATATACATACACATTTAAATAAAAGGGAAGAAGAAAAAGGCACTTTATGTAAAAGCAAAGCTCAAAGCTTCAATGAAATCCCTAATTATTTCACTTTTCTCACCACAGCCTGCCTCAGCATTCCTCATCATCTCAGTTGTTTACTTTCTTTGACCACTTTTGTGTAATACAGCCCCTTGCCTAATAATAAAACCACTTGCCACAGGGAGTCTGCTTCACAACCACTATTTTAAACCAGAGGACCGCAGAGGTCTCTCTGCGCAACATGAAATGCAGTCTCCCCAGGGGTCAGTAATGGTAAACGACTATCTTCCCCCATGTACTTCTTCCCCATATGTAGTAGCTTTTTAACTAATTAATACTGTAACAAAGTCACAAACATAAACGTTCTGCAGGCACCACGTATTAACGGGTCTCCAGTCCCACAAGGACCTCTATATACTCGGTGTAAACTTTACACAGCTCATTCCACTGCAAGATGGAAGTTGAGCTGAGGCAGAAGTATGTGCAGAATCAGGGCCATTACCAGATAGTTGTTCGGCCTCTGATGGATAAATCATTTTGTTTATATATTGCTAGCCACTGTATGTCCTGAAATTATTTCCAAGATTTGAAACTACTCCTAGAATGTCTGTTTAGTTCACCTCCGACGTGTCAAGATGGCAAGCTTCCATAGGAAGGCAAATCTCTACAAGGTCTTGTAAAATGTATTTTGCTTTTGGAAGTAAGCCAACACACCCCATTTCCTACTGAAAATGAACTAGCTGAAGCAGGTAACACCGCAAAACACCTACATGCACTTACCACTCAAACAAGACACAACTGTGAGTTTACATAGATTTGGGAAAAGCTAGTATTTCACCTACCAGTAGTTACCCCAGGCAAGTAGGATTTGATTTGACTACAGTGAAACGGCAGAATTTGGGGAAATAAGTGGAGTATCAAAAATCGAATTTGGGCTCTTCAATTAAAGTTACCATTCAGGAGAAAAATCTTCTCTTTTGAAGAGTACCGGATAGATGGGTAATTCCCTGGCTGTAATTGCAGTACACAGACCTTCTAGACCCTTGGAGTTATGGTTGCTTTTGTCATGAGGAATGTTAACACTTAACCACTTTGGCTGATGTACACAAAATGTACACGTGCAGCATGGATGCAGCATGTTTTCTGCAAGAACAGGCTACATGCTATGCTGGTACCATGGCATATTTCAAATGTCACTAGACACTTCAGGCACATTTTGAAAGGGACTTGGTGACAACTTCCACTTTCTGCAAACAATGGTTTCACCCATTTTGTTACACCTTGTGGCAAAGTGCAATGAAACTAAGTGACTTGATCAAGTGATCTGACATACGTACAGGTTTCAGCTGCACAGGTCTGAACCTGACACTGGGTAGAAGCACGGAGAGAGACGGGGGCTAAGATTCAAAGGACTGAAGAGAGGGTGCAATGTTATCTTGGACTGAGAGATCAGTGGAGCCAGCGACCATCAGAATGTCCGTTTCAAAACCACACCCTGTACAGTATTATCGAAAGTTTCTTACTTTCATCATTTTGTAGGACATACACAAGAAAGGCATGTAGCAATTAGTTTTGTTCAGGGACCAAAAAATCAGCTTATCCTTGTGTCGAAACAAACAGGCTTACATTCTGAAAAGCTTATGAAGCAGAACAGAGCGCGCTTTGAGTTAGAAATTTTCCATGACCGAAAGGTCAAGAGAGTGTTAAGCTATTCTTGTATGTATTGTAAGGATTGCTCTTTTCACCTAGGAGACACAGCAGTTCGAGAGGTTTTCGAAGAGACTGGCATTAAGTCAGAGTTCAAGTCCATCCTAAGCATAAGACAGCAACACAAACACCCCGGAGCCTTTGGGAAGTCGGATATGTACATCATCTGTCGCCTGGAGCCCTCCTCCTTCAGCATCAGCTTCTGCCAGCAGGAGTGCCTGAGGTGTGAATGGATGGACCTCGATGAGCTTGCTAGGACGAAACACGCTACTCCCATCACCAGCAATGTAGCTAAACTCCTGCTTTACGGATACCGGGAGGGGTTTGATAAGATTGATATAACCATGAGGGAGTTTCCAGCTGTCTACACAGGCCTGTTCTACAAACTGTACCACAGGGAGCTGCCCGAGTCCTACAGAAACATTACATGATAGCAACACGTTTCACATTTCATTACATTAATAATTTAGAGTTATTATTGTAGTGTTATTTAGACCATATTAAAATTATCTATGGACTTCTTTTTAGGTAATTATTAGAAAGTAATTATTTACCCTATTCTCTAATAAGCTCTAAAGGTATAAATTATTTTTAAAGGTAAATATTGCTATAAGCGTGCATCAGATTTGTTTTCCTTTACTCTGTAAAGCAAACGTAAGGAAAATAAAATAGCTCTACATAGATACCTAGCAGAAGTGTTATTAATCCTGAAAATATATTTTCCAAGTAATTTTACCTCCACACACACTGGCACAATAGGTTCAAAGAGCAATATAAAGACAGTATGAAACATTCATCTTTTAATCTGGTATCTGCAAGAGTAGTTAATATCAGCAAATAATTGCTTCTGTTTTTGCTGCTTCAGAGAGGAGTAGGAAACTCGACGTCTTTCGTGTAGTGTGGCGTATGTGCTCGGAATCCGCCATGGAAATCAGCTTTTAGCAGACATGGGAAGAAAAAGGATAGCTTTCTGTCCAGGTCCAGTTTTTGGTCCAGGTTTGTACTGTCCAGTTCTTTTCAGTGCCACATACCAATCAGAGTATTTCCGTGATCGGTAAGTGTTATAGTTATTAGACTCCAATCGCTCAAAAAAGAAACATTCTTCTGTTGCACATTTCTAAAAGGGAAAAAGAAAAGGATTATTGATACTCCATCACAACACGTCACTTCTTCAGATTCGTGGGACTGACGTACCGAGAACGTAAGTTAGCAATACATTTGGTTTTAAGAAATTCACGTTAAATGTTTCAGGTTTAAAGAAAAGAGTTATTGTTAAAATATAGTTTTTAACTATGATTTAGTTATTGTCTTTAACACCAACCAAGCAGATTCTAGTTTGTTTTCACTGGGTAATCCTTTGTTCTGATCTGAAACTCAGTCAAACAAGTGAAGAGCCCCTGTCCCTTGGCACGTACCGACAGATCCTGACTTCCAAGCTCGGCAGTTTTGCCATCTCATCCTAGGTTACAATTTAACCAAAAAGAAAAGCAGGATCTAAGAGAAAAGGGAGTATTTCCCCTGCCTTCCTCAAACCGACCTTTTTATCGGTTAGAGAAATAGCATGGCACAGTTTCCGCCTTTGCCTGTTCTTTTCTGATTTTGAGGTTTCACCTTCCTAGAGCTAATTCAAGTCTGTATTTGTAGCGCTCTGAAACAGCGGCAAGCCTGCACCTGTTCAACGTTTTTTCAAATTCAAAACCCTTAAAATAATTTTAAGAAAAGATCAGACCTGGCAAAGAGGTCTATTCCACACAGAAGCCAAGCATACTCTACTGGTGTTTAGGAGTGCATCTATGGAATTATTCTGCTTCTGAAAGTAAGTCTTCAAAAACAACTCCACCTACAGGGAATTAACGTGCCTTCACACCTACAAATAAAAAAGAAGGTGGTTCTTCACACAACGGGTAAAAGGCGAGCTGTGGAGCTCCTTACTGTAGGAAGTTACCGTTTCCCCCAGCTTTCACGGATTCAAGTCACTTTTGGACAAGTTCATGGAAAAGAAATTCACTGCAAAGCTACTAAATAGGTAGAAACCATTCTCGGCTGAGAAGGCCCCGAAGCCGACATTGTGTTGGAGGCTGGGAGACCAATACAGGGCATTACGACGTATGTCTTCTCTTACACGCTGCATTTGATCACCATCAGAGAGAAGATGCTCACCTGCACATAAAGCCCCCAGAAGGTAAGCCTGCCACTAATGAATACAGCGTGACACACTTTCTTCTGCGCATCTCTGCAGACAGCAGAAACCACTGCTCCCTCGGGGCGACCATACTGAAGAGAAAGAGTCTTCATTTTCAAGTGATCCCATTCCGATCGGTGAGATCACGTGAGGTGGGCATCGTCCGTTGCAAGACTTTAACCCACACATTTTCCTGGATAGTTGTTATTGCCAGGGGGACTTAAAACCAAGGTAGTTTAACTATGACTAGTAGTTATAGCTGCTCATAGTCGAGAGAAAACAGGAAAGTTTATTCACTTTCTGAAATCCACCACCAAGAAACCACATGGTTCCTCTGTGTCGAAAACGTAAGAGGACGTACAAACAGCCTCAAGGAAGATCTCGTTCTGTAGGAAGAGGATCGCTATCGGTGTTTAACTGCATTAAGGCACAGTCACAGCAGCAGAAGCCGTCAGTGGGTGACACTGCTCTCACAGCGGTCACGGTGGCAAACCTGCCTGCAGAAGTGGCGCTTTAAGCAAGAGAAATTATTTTCTCAAATACAGAGATGGCAGAAGTTCAACACCGCAGGAACTTACTGGAGCGGGGCGGGGGGTGAGGGGGGCACTTTCTTTTCCTAGATGCCATCTGTCAGTCCACCAATTCAGTCATACTCATTTACCCAGAAAATTTTTGGGAATGCCGGAGGAAGAGGAAAGCTAGTCATTGAAAAGCAAGCATGTAAAAATCTTGGAGAGGAGACAGGGAATGTGAAGCAATTCCCTAAACGAGCAGGCTACTCTTTGTTACAATCGTCTGTTAATATTCCTGAATATATGAAGTACCCAACTAGAACTCAAAACTCAGCTTGGAACAACTACGCTTCATACAGTATGCACGAAAACACACAAGAGAAGAGGAACTCCTCACACATGCCAAGTTCCTGTAGCTACAAGCAATTAAATCATTCAAATGCAGTCTGGAATAAAGTGATCTGTCTCCAAACATATGTCTTCAAATAGAAGGTTTTTTCCTCCACTTCAACCATTTTCAGATACAAATTTCGGTTTCTAAGGAAAAGAACTTGTAAGAGAAAACCCACATGCAATTTCTCATTTCTGTAACTCACTAATATTTTTACATTTCAAATAGCAGGAATCAAATTGACAATTTGCGTATGATTTGTATTTTAAATAATCTTTCTCAAGAGAAATCATATTTTAATGCCTTTCGTTCCAGCAATGTGAAAACAGATGCATTAATCACCTCAAGCCACAGCTCCAAGCCTGAAATGGATTACAGCAGCCTTAAGAGGGCACAGAAACCACATAAAGAAAAGAAGCATTTAAGAACAAAACCAAGCTTTAAGCAGAGCTTAGGCAAGTTCAGTACAATTGCCCAAGCTGGAAATTCTGGCAAAGAGACCGTCGCAGCCGGCTCACACCTCGCCCTCACCTCCTACCCGAAGCGGCGGCACTGCTGGAAGCGCCGAGACAGCGGGCGGCGCGGGCAGAGCACGGCCTCCGAATGCCGCAGGCACCTGGTTTCCCTACGCACGCTTCCCGGGCAATCCCCGTCAGGTACGGCTGGGGGGCTGGGGAGGTAGATCAGATGCCTAATGCCGGCGGGAAGCGAGTCTTTACAACCTCCGCTAGGAAGGAAATGGCTTCCACGGTGCGCCCGTGGGAAATTTAAGCCGCCACTGCAAGACCCCACGTACAGACGAAAGGCACATTCGCCACGACCCCCTCTCCCTCTCGCACTAAACCCACAAAGTAAACACAACCACAACTCGGAGAAACGCATCGTTTTTATTTAGCCTTCCTCGTCTCTCTCAGGTTTAAAAAGTAAAATAGATTAAACTCCCTAAACAGATTTTCAGGCAATTTATGGGTGTTATAAAAAATAATCAAAAAAGGGTGAAAAAAGAAAAAGATGAAAAGGAAAAAAGATTTTTTTTTTTTTTTTACATTCATCAGGAGCTTTTGAAAGGTGCCAGACGATTCGCTCCGGACACTTAAGTCCTTATTTCTCCACAAAGCAGACGAGATACCAGTGCTTTCCTACAGTACCTTGCCAATGTAAATATTCTGACATAAAAGTAAACATGTAGGTGACAAATGATAGTTCAGGCTTCATGAACTACGTATTCCTTAACATTTGCCAAAGGCGACATTTTGGAAGCTGGACTGCTGTCCAGCAGGAGTTGGATGCCGGCCACCGCGCTGTGAACCTCGGCCCCTGGAAAAATCCTGGATATCAATGGTTTTCTTAAATACGCTTTGGTCTAGGCCGCATTGGAAGCGGTGATCTGGCAGTGAAAGCTTTCACAGCACATGGCGAAATACCTGAGCTCTACAGCCCTTCGTGAAAAGGATAAAGGAAGGGAAACCCCCGGGGGCAGTGGCGGGGAGCGAGTGCCGCTCGGCGCCTGCCCTGCCACCAGTCAGTATTTTATCTGCTGCCAAGCAAGACCTCCATCCAGCAGAAGTCTGAGAGACTAAATAAAACGCCGAGTGCGGGAGTTTTTAACGTTAGCAGTGTTGGTCGTAGCCGTGCTGGTTCTACGGCCTGCCGTGTGCCACCGCTTACAGTAGCCAAACCGTAACGACCGCCGAAATCCCCAAGGTGATTCACCCGGGGCAGATTAATTGACCGAAAGAGGCAGCAACTTCCTGCGACAAAGTTCCTCCTCCCTTATTTGCACGGCCAAATGCCACCCACCGATTGATTTTTTGGTGCAAACTGCATCTGCCTTAGTATGACGTTATGCCAGTTAACGAGTTTTGACATTTTGGACTCAGATTAGGAATTAAAATTCCTCAGGTTTGTTCATTCTCAAAACTGAAACCAGAGGGTTAACCTGTAACTATCACAGCAGATGGAGTATGACCCGAGAAAGGTGATGATGGTATTTAGCCTTTTCTAGCTACGAAAGGGCCAGGAATTGAAGGTTGTTCTCACAAATATTCTTGTACCACAATTTTAATCCGTAACATCAAAAGAGAAGAATTTCCCTTCAAGTCCTTCAGTCTGGCAAAACCTGTCCGGTCATAGCGAAACCACATAAGCGTGACAGACAGAACAAACAGGTCGTATCCTTAAATGACAAACTATTTCTCGTGAAATAGAAAAGTTAGTCAAAAGTGCAATTCTTCCTTTCATGGGAAATTTTGAGAGATTTCTTCATGAAATGAAATAATCAAACACATTTAATTCCATAAAGTGAAAATATTTCATTATTATAATTAAATGAAACCGGAAAGTCAAAGTGAGCCATATCAGAAGTGAAATGGTTCAATTTTTCCATTAAAAATCTGATGGAATAGATACATTTCTGCACAAATATTTTCAGTTAAAACAGCATTTTCCAAGGGGAGTTTTTGACCGGCTGCATTAATAACCAGCCATTTCCTCCAGTGACTGAAGGGGTAAAGATTACCTCTCCCCCACAACAACTGAGTCTGTTCGTAAACGGAGAGCATGAAACTGCTAAATTAAAAGCCGTATCATCCAGCTCTCAAGACAAGAGCGCGATCCACTGTACCGCCACGCAAATCACCAGTGTAAGCAGTGATGTGCTGGCTATGCAATAAGTCATTTTGCAAAACCCAACTCGGAACAAACCATAAAGACATGGCTCAACAAAGTAATTACAAAAACATCCAACTAGATGAAAAACAGGACTGAAGAATAATTTGCGAAAGTATTTCTGAAGATGTTGCTGTACGTATAAAACAAGGACACTACGCAAATTGATCCTTGACCCTGAAAAGTAATAAAAAAAGGAGAAACAAACAGATGTTACAAAGGACAGAACAGTACTTGAGTGACTAGTGGAGTAGAGAACTAAATAGGTGTTCAGAAATTGAAGTGCCATAACGTTTTAAAAGAAATAACCAAAGGTTTCAGCAGATACGAATTCACGCCCACTGACGAGGTCACTTCACCGCAAAGATTTCCAGCATACGCTCTTTCAAAGCTCTCGCTGAAACACAACACTGCTCGAACTGAAAAAAAGAAATGCTGGCAACTAGGAACAGTTTCATGAATGTGTTTATAGGCAGAAAACAGTAGAGGCACAACTGGCCACAAACGGTTGGAAGTCATAGTACAGAAATCCTCACGGAAAAAACATTGCCTGTCCGCTCCAGAAAATGATCGTGAAATTGCAGAAGTATTCACTAGGCTGGCTGAAGAACAAAACCTGAAGAGTAGAGAGCTTTCACCTACGCACAGCAGAAATGAAGAGCTGTAGGAAGCAGTGTTTGCAGTAAACACAATTCGCGTAATAGCCGTTTCCAGAAACAAAGCAAAACCAAAACAAAGGTTTTGTAAGCTCAAGGGAGAAACACAAAGCGACCCAACTTTACCAGGTTTTGAGAGCGCAATTCCGAGTGCATGGCGGATACTTTCCAAGCACGTATCGCCTTACAAGAACGAAGCAGAGAAAATTGCTGCATATAGCTGCAAGGGAAGCATGTTCTACAACCAAAGCCCACCGTGCAACAGTAGGTTGGAAATCCCAAACGTAAACACCCCCAGGTGTTCATAATTTCACAAATGGTGCTAAACACCCCATTTTGGCCGTCCGCTGTCGCTCAGGGTAAGGAGGGCAAGTTGAACGGGAAGCCGAATGCCACCACACCAGCACCACAGGAAATTCCCAATTATCCTTAATGCAAGAACAGCACAGTGGACTACTCCGCACATTTTCTTCAACTGAGCTGTCACACGATACCCGAGTAAGTAACGCTGTAACTTGGAACAGGTTCTTTAACTGTATTCATAGGCATAAACAAAACGGGCTTCCTGGAGCCAGAGGCGCATGGTGCCGAGGAGCGCACCAGGGATCCCTGCTCATGTAAAACTGCTGAAGTGTTTTGTTTGCCTTCAGACTCATTTCACTTAGGCAGAGGCAGAACCGAGGGGAATCAGACGTAATTTCTGCAGCCCTTGGCAGGAGTCTGTCATTAGCTGCAGTTCAGCTGGGATGAGGAATTCACTTTATTATTAACACCTGTTCCTAGTGGGGACTTGCACAGAAGCTGAACGGGGCTGTGTTCAGGATACTAAAGCGTCAGGGATTATCTCAACCTGAAATTCTAGTAGGATGCCCTACGGTGGTACTTGACAAGCGCTGAAAGTTTGTCTGCACTGAAGGTTGTAAATATGGACGAGAGATTTACAGTGTCTACCTCTTCTAAGCAAAATGAATGTAACTGCAGCTCTTAAAGCAAAATTTATAATCTAGCTCTAGGAGACCTTATTCATTTTCAGAGTCTGCTAAACATATTGGCTTTAAAACACAGTTAAAAATTAAGCTGATTTCAATAAAATGCATGGAGTTTAAACTAGTCTCTAATGAGACTAGTTTTAATTTGCCTACATTTAATAACTTTTTTTTATCATCGCATTTTCAAAAATGTTTTTCTTGCCAGTTTTCTAGTTTGCAAGTATGCATGACCAAAAAACCTTCATTCTTTACAAAGAGGAAAATGAGAAAACAATACATACAGATTACTATCAAAAACATAAAAGTCAAAATTTAAAAAAAATTGGCTTTGCTTCCTACTTTAAAAGGGTCTTTACAATCACTTTATGTGAAAGTAAGTGAAAGAGGAAAAAATTACTCGTGGGGGGAAAAAAGGGAGAGACTTCAGTCTTCGTTTGTTCTTATAATTTCCTTCTACACACGATCACTGTGATTTTTCTCTCTCAGACAGGCCATTCCAGTTAAATTTTGCAGCTTCTAGGTGAGGGCAGTCATACCCATCTCTTCCTAGTTCATAGTTCAATTAATTGACAAAAGTCACGCGGAGCTAATTTCTCCCTGATAAATCACACACAGAGAAGTTGAGCAAGTCCTGCTGGAGGAGAGGACCTACCAATACAGAGAGACACGGAGAGAGATAAAGATTAAAAAACCGCTGCTTACCAAGGCCAGCAACCTGCCATCCTCCTTCATAGCCAGAAAGCGATTTGCGCTTACACCTTTGATTGACACCACTCCTCTTTCTTCTGCTTGAAGCTGCAGCTTGACTGCGAACAAAAAAGACAAAAGTAAATTTTCACAGCCATCGCGGTATTTCAGCACTTGACAGCGAAGCCTACTGCTTCAAACCTAAAACCAGAGAAAGACTGAGCTTCAGCTTGCAGCGAAGATAGTAAACTTTCCACCTCTAGCTTTCCGATCCCATTTTTCGTCAAAGAAAGTGCTTATTACAAAGTAAGTAGCTATTGGCAAATTGGCAAAAATAAGCATGCGTTATTCTTCTATCTTCATTTCACAAAAAAGCAATTTAGAAACCCATAAAAATTCCTTGAAGGACCACTTACGGCACGGTCAACCACTCACAGAAGGTGGGAATTTTTCATGGCAATTTTCTTACGGAGATATTTCTTACTGTTTATCGAACAGCATCGGACACTGAAGGCATGCAATTCTATACAGCTAGATTGTCAGAGAGGCATGAGTCTGGACTACGATTAAGACCATTCAGGACCATATCACTCGCTAAATGTTCTAGGAGTTCCCAACAGAAAAGTTTCCATTAGTTTACATCATACATCCAACAAGTGGTTACAATAAACAGACAGAAAGAACTGCAAAAGTAGACGAGGATAGCAAAGACACGAGAAATGGTGTTAAACAAATTAGGAACATGAAAAGTGGGTTTATTTGAATCAATTATTTTAAAAAAATGAACAGTCATGTTTGTTTGAAAATCTAAGGTCATATCACATAGCTTTTAGCTACTGCCTGTGAATTAACGCAAAGTCTAAACTGATTTTTCTAGCTACAAATCAAATCCAGTCGTTTAGATTAACACACAGATGTTTCCCCCTTTGCCGACAGCTTGTTTCAAGCTATAAGCCAAAAGTGGCCTCCACCTAAATCCAGAAGAGCTGTTTGCTCTTTTTCTCCTTTTTTCTTCCCTGATTATTCCTGTCGTTGCATTCAGAACGAGAAATGAATCAAGTGAAGTGGTTAAAACAGCGGAGCCAGGAAGCTGCATCTCGGCTGCATTTCAGCCTAACCTTACCAGGAGTATCTGGGACACTGCACCTCGAAGTGCGGGTTTTTGAACCAGCAGCTACTCAGGAGGGGGAATACTGCAATACAAGAAACTATACCGAATACCATAGAAAAGTCCACCAGATACCTTCTACACGACTTCCATTTCTTTTGAGCTGCAAATACCTAAACACTATGTTGGAACTGCCATTTTTCTGGAGAAGAAGGGAAGGAAAAGGAAGCAAAGTACACGTTGTCCTAAACCTCACAGAAGATCCTGTTCTAGTCCAACCATTTTTAGAACATCTCCCTCTGACAATCTAACTTTGATTATTTAAAGCATCACTTAAAAAAGGGGAAAAGGCCCATACAGCAACTCCTATGAGCTCTTTGGACTGCTTGCAGCTTGACATGTGGTCCTTCCTCCTCCCCTTCACAGAAAATACATGCCCGCTCCCTGCAGCGCCATCCCATTGAGCCAGCTTGCACAGGCAGTACGATTCAATCCGATTTCTGCTAAAAACAAACACAACCATTTCAGCAGCAGTGGAACAGAAGAAATTGGATCTCCCAAAATCCCTAGGTTTTCCTCTATTCTGGATGGCCATTATTTCCAGTGAAACCCGCACCTGCAGACCCTCTCACTTAAAAAAGAGCAATTAAGAGCGAGCCCAGATGAGCACTGTGCTTCTGGGCAATACTGTGCTTTCATCCACAGTTCCACTTAAACGGGGGATTTTTAAGAGCAACTGTACTTCCATGACAGGAAGCAAGATCATGGCAACACGGGCATCAAAAACGAGGAATAGCTGAGAAACAGCTTCTCACCTTCTTGGGATGCATAAAGACAAAGACGACTCTCGCCAAAGAATTGAGCAGCTAAAGAAGGAACGAGCAGGATGTCGCAAGCTGGTACTGTTTATGTGTCCATCAGGTGTCCAAACGAAGGATATGACTCATCTGGTGCGAGACTATCGGTGTTTCCAAAAATGAACTAGACTGGAACTTCTCCTTCCTTCTGCTTGTCATCCCAGAAGTTATTTTGGGAATTAGTTAAAAACATTTTCTGTTTGAACAGACTATACAGAGATCTGACCATGATAAAAGCCCAGCTAGAGGAACCGACAGCTGTGCTCCATTCACTCAAAAGTGCTCAGCCAAGGACTCGCACCAGTTTGTGTTTGCCCGTTTCTTTCTTCGAAGGGTTCTTGAGAAACACATCCCTGGTTCCGTACAGTAAGACTGGTATTACAGCTTAGTGGGTGCCGTGGTTTAACCCCAGCTGGCAACTGAGCACCACGCAGCCGCTCACTCACTCCCCCCCAGAGTGGGATGGGGGAGAGAATCGGAAGGGTAAAAGTGAAAAAACTCGTGGGTTGAGATAAAGGCAGTTTAATAGGGAAAGCAAAAGCCGCACACACAAGCAAAGCAAAACAAGGAATTCATTCCCTCCTTCCCACCGGCAGGCAGGTGTTCAGCCACCTCCAGGAAAGCAGGGCTCCATCACGCGGAACGGTGACTTGGGAAGACAAAATGCCATCGCTCCAAACGTCCCCCCCTTCCTCCTTCTTCCCCCAGCTTTATATGCTGAGCATGACGCGCCATATGGTGTGGGATATCCCTTGGGTCAGTTTGGGTCAGCTGTCCTGGCTGTGCCCCCTCCCAGCTTCTTGTGCCCCTCCAGCCTTCTCAGTCGGTAGAGCATGGGAAGTTGGAAAGTCCTTGACTAGTGTAAACACTACCTAGCAACAACTAAAACATCGGTGCATTATCAACATTGTTCTCACCCTAAATCCAAAACACAGCACTGTACCAGCTACTAGGAAGGAAATTAACTCTATCCCTGCCGAAACCAGGACAGTGGGGAAAGTCGGATGGGCAACACGGGTATACATCATCTCAGACACGAGCTTCATTCACCTACCTGCTTTTGTGGAGTATATAGTTTTTTCTATTTAATGACGCAGTTCTAAAAAGCTTGACCTTTTAAGCCACCAGAAAAAATGCTTGAAGTGCGTTTGGAGCGGGAGCATCTCTTGAGATTCAGAGGGAAGTTGCTGCTTATTTGGCTTTTTGTTGTGGGGAAAAAGATTTTTGCAATACAAATGAAAGCTTTCTTGGTTTACTTCTGTTGCTCCTAAAGACAGGACTGAGGAAACTCCAACAATAAGAATACCAGGAACATGAAATCTTTAGGATAATTGCTGCAAACCCTTTTTTAAGCATTAAAATTATTTCATCTGATTTTTCCCTGGATACAGACAGACGTGAGTAAGAGCTGCTTGTAAATCCACTAATTTGTATACACAACTGAAGCCATATTAATAGAAATGCTGCACTCTAAAGAAGATAAAATGGTTTCTTATGAATTGTGTGTCTGTTGCCATTTTGCACAAAGGAAAGAAAAAAGAGAAACCTCTCGTAATTCACTAATAACTCCAGACTTCCAAGGAATACAGAAACCTCTGCAGTCGTAAAAAGTTAGGTGAAATGTTTAATTTCATCCCAGAATCAAGTATCCAAAATACAGCCCTCCCGAGTTACTAGGCCAAAATCAGACTTGTGAACAGCTTCAAAAACCTTCAGTGCAGCTCCTTGCCCGCTGGGGAAGCAAGAATGTGGAGAAGTGCTCTGGGCAGGGACTGGGGGAAATGGACTTTTGAGATGTGCCCAAGCACACAGCTTTCACCGCACACTTAACAAGAAACAGCTGTGTGAAATAGCTGAAAAGTAATATTAATTACTGCAGTACGGACTTCTTAGGCTTCGTGACTTTCTCCTGACAAAAAAAGCATACCAACTCCTATGGCATCATACTGGGCCAAAAGTTCAGATTCCATAAAAACAAACTTTTAGTAAAGGTTTTTAAGGCCTGTAAAAATATTTGTATAGTTTGGAGAAGCTTGTGAAAAGTGTTACTCTTTAAAAAGGAGAAGGAGGAGGAAAAAAAAACCAAAACAGACAGAAAAAGATTTTCCTGCAGAGTTTGAAAAGTGCTGCAATACTGAAAGCCCCAAAAGCAAGATCAGCTTCACTGGATTTTCCTCTCCAACTCAAAAAACACAAGACTAAACAGAGCCAGAATAGTACTGTAAGTTTTTCAGGGTTTTTTTTTTTTCAGGTTTCAGCGTTATTTCATGGCTTTATTAATGCAAGGTAAGTATCTGCCGCAGTGTTATGTTGATCTGGAGATGCCAGCATACAATACAGCCTTACTAATCAAACACATTTTGACCCTGCAATCATCACCAGCAGCAACAATTTTAGGTTTAGCTCAATGCAACTTGGCACAATCGGTCAGAAGAGAAATTTAACACTTGACAGCGATGATCCCTATCTTTTGCAGCCTTTAGGTCACCAATGGCAACAGTTCAGACACAGGCCATCATTTCAGATCTACTCGTAATACTTGTTTTCAGCATACCTGAACCTCAAAACCAGATCCATGAAAGGAAATTAATTAAGAAGTTTGTAATCCAAAAAAGTAGCACAGATTGTTGTGAAACAGCTAATTAATGAACTGAGGGCCAAAAAGGCACATTTTTCCCAGTTATTCTGGCAGTCCTTTGGGAGGGCTTCCCTCCAGCACGGCAGTAAGTTATTTCACTATTCACATTCATAGACTCATAGAATAGTTTGGGTTGGAAGGGACCTCTAAAGGTCATCTAGTCCAACCCCCCTGCCGTGGGCAGGGACATCTTCAACTAGATCAGGTTGCTCAGAGCCCCGTCCAACCTGACCTGGAATGTTTCCAGGGATGGGGCATCCACCACCTCTCTGGGCAACCTGTGCCGGTGCTTCACCACCCTCAGCGTAAAAAATTTCTTCCTTATATCTAGTCTAAACCTACCCCCCTTTAGTTTAAAGCCATTCCCCCTTGTCCTGTCGCAACAGGCCCTGCTAAAAAGTTTGCTGCCATCTTTTTTATAAGCCCCCTTTAAGTACTGATAGGCTGCGATAAGGTCTCCCCGAAGCCTTCTCATACCACGAGATTCATACCATGAAATTCATACCATGATCCATA